TAGGATGTCTAGATATAACGTTGACATTCAGCTTCGAAGTTGCTGCGGGCGTCGTGGTGGTATACGATTGGGGTGAGCAGGACAGTGTTCGAAAATCGCTGATATTCTCATGATATTTCCAGTCTTAACACTCGGACAAGAGGTACATCCATCTTATCGCCGCAGCAGCCAACTCGCTAAAAATGGTGTCATAGATTGAACTCATCTGGGTGAGTGACAAGAGTCCCGTATCAGAAGAAAACAAGAGCATGCAATAAATTCGCGACAGAGACAACGCTGGTCTCTCATGACCGTGCTGTATTTGACTGTTCGTACCTCATGTTGTGCTTGAGCGTGGTGGGCAACTTGTGCTGACTACAAAATGTTCTAGGTACGCTACATTGGACTATTATATTATGTGTATGTGTCGAGATCAACAACTTTTCACGGTGCTCTTAGCTTATCTCTGACAATTAGTGTCCGTCTTCTGGGTATGTCTCATATGTGCTGTGTTCCATTTACTGACCGGCGGGACACAGAATATCTGCCATCGGTATCGCTGACGGATGCAGTATGTATTCCGCAGCCATCTCATTCCCGTCTAATCAATACGCTCATATGTAGGGGTGAGTGAGATTCCAACTATTGAACTCGGCTGACCATAATGACTCAATAGGTGTAAGTCGAAGTCTTTCATACTGGTGCAAGGGTGTTCACTAATTGGAAGATTTAGGCACTATCATCTACTACGCAATGAATGGCACAAATGTGGCATTGACTGCCATGTTGAGTGGTAAGTTACCCAGGTGCAATATCTCTGTGATATTGACCTGACTGACACACGATGCAAGTGATCATGATTGCTCGGTTGCATGCCATGTATCAGGGATCTAGGACGATGCTTATATTCCTTGTTATTATCTTCCTGGCTGTAAACATCACTTCCGGGGTAACCACGGCAATAGCACTCAACGATGCTGTAGCAAGTAAGCTTTACTTGTCGACTTGAAGAACGCGGCTCATTGGACACATACAAGAGGAGTTGATACTCTCTGGCACATACATGTGCGGCGGTTATGTATTTGGAGGGGACAACCAGCTTCTCATTTCGACGACTTGGATGCTCGACACTGTGTGGGAGGTCCTCGCACTGTGTCTTTCAGTCTGGGTTGCTGTGAAACACTTTCGTGACCTGCGACGACTCGGCCCATCAACAAGATCGACCATCAGTGACTGTTTCAGAGTGCTCATACAATCTCACGTTCTTTATTTTGCAAGGTGCGCTCGTAATGTGAATATGGTTGTATTTTTCTGCTCAAGTTCTGCTCATGTTAGCTTTGTTGGTGTCTCTTGCCTCCATCTTGCTTATCTCTCTCCAGAAATCTCGGTGTGCTGACCTGTTGCTGACATCTGCGTGCAACGACTGCTCATCATTTCTGTAGGATTCAAATTCTATTGGAGCTGAGATACTCGGAAGTGCTCTTGAAATTTTATCGGTCGTGCAGATGTTTGTGCTGGGACCACGCCTCATCCTGAGCGTTCGAGAATACCACGCCAAACTCGTGGCATACTCCGATGCAGAAACTGGCATGAGTTCGATTGTTTTCCACGAGCATGTACATGTATCAACTAGCAGTACGGTGTAGGGAAATGCTTGCCTAGTGGTCTGCAGGAAGGAGAAATTTGGTGAAGGATCCGTCATGATAATCATTTAACATATTGTGTTTCGAAGTATATTTGGAAGGTCTAGGGAAAGCTATTTCTTGTTGTATCACTACTGGAACGAAGCATCCGCGCTTGAACTAAGTGTTAAGGTGAAATTATATGGAATGACTAGCAACCAACCTGGTCCTTGGTGGCCGATGTTAAAACACGTCGAGAATCAGTGCAAGTGCCTTGACAGCTGATTGTGGGCGTGTCACAGAGGCCACCAGCGTTTGAGTCGCAGGTCAGGGGAGCAGGGGTGGAGACGCAGACACAGACACAGACGCAAGACAAACAGGCAGTGATTGAGCCTCAGCCAAGGCAGACGAATTTAGAGATGCAGACAAGACCACCAGTATTCGAGACGCAGGCGAGACCTGCGGCGTTCGAGTCTCAGCCAGGACCGACGATTGAGCGCTGAGCCTCGGAGGCAGACAATGATCAAGTCACAACCAAGATCGACGAGTCTCAACCAAGATCCACGGTTCTCAAGTCGCATGTGAGACCCACGCCATTCGAGCCTCAGCCGAGACCTACGGTACTCGAATCACAGCCAAGATCGCCTATGATGTTGGAAGGTCCAGCGAGATCCAGTCCCGGTCTCAAGTATCTCAAAGGGTTGCAGGAGGTAATTGGATGAGCGAGGAAGATGTCATTCGAGAGATAAGTCATTCTTTCTCATTGGTGGCTTTTTTGGAGTGTGAATCGATACTACTCTTACTCGTCTTGGTTATCGCATTGACCTCGCACTCTTTGTTCGTGCCATGTGCATGATCGATACCGATAAAGCCCCGCACTGAATAGAAGCACGGTCCATGATCGATGATCGATGAAATTTGAAAGAAGGATAGCCAAGAATAGATGCCGGGCTAGATAAGGCATGGATGATGCAAATCCTGGAAGACACGACGTATGTCATCGGGAATTAGATCACAGTCGTTCTGCCAGAAGTACTAATAGTGTCCCACCTAGTAACTCCTGAGCACAACGTCCAAACCGTGCATCGATCTACATTCGGGATCCTTGCGATCTCGCCAGTCCAGACAGGCGATACAAGGAATTTTTCTCCATTCCACACGTCACCTGTCCAAGCACAAAGCACACGATGCGACGGAATGGCTCTGTTCCATCTACTGCATCATCATCCATCTAGGTTGTTCGAGTGGGGCGCGATGCAACTATTCCATGGACCAAGGAAAGTAGAAGTGGCGTGTCCGAGTTCAGACAGATGATAATCCGAGATTTCGACATATTCATGAATGCCCTGGATTATCATCTGAGCACGGTGCACAAAGAACGAAAAATAACAACAAAGAACTGACCATGGCCGCAGAATCATGTATTGGGCATGCATGGCCTGTCGAAGTACTACTAGTAGCGTGTCCGTCAGCATAAACTGTCTAACAAGATTATGACATACGTACACAAGACAATTCGGAGTGGCATTGGGGTAGCGTGTCGAAGCCCGGGCAGTCGATAAAAAAGATATCTTAAGGACACACGAAAACAACTGATCATCTGAACAAAAAGAATGACCATGATTCATAAAACCCAGATGGCCGATGACACCATGTCATTGAAGAGGTTATCACAGCATATGGTCGTCAGCTACCTGAACGAACAAACAGAGAGTGAAGGGCCTGGAAAGGAAAAAGAAAAGTAGCGTGTCTGCGATCAGATAGTTGATAGAGGAAGAAAAAACTCAATATGACGTGTGCGAGCACAAAGAAAGATGGGAAAGGGTGGCCTCCAGAGCGGTAGTAGAATGTTCGTGAGCGCGAGGAAGAATGTGTCTGGAGGATCTGTCACGGGAGTAACACTTTAGTCTCATATATATACTTAACTACTATGTAGGCAGACCAAATACGATAGTCGTTCATTCTAACTTTGATAGCATAGTGCCTGTCCGTCGAGCTTCACGCACAGGTCGATTCTCGTCTTCCGTGACCGATGTGAGTGAGGCAACAAGAGAGTTTGCGAGTTCTGGAATGGCATTGCTTGCAGAATACAGCAACTGGCTTGGTTAACTTTTTGACTCCGCAAATTAAACGCTGAAGGTAGCGCCGCGGACTTTGATTCAAATTTAGACAAGCTTCAACGTCCGAGGACATGTAGGAAATGGCCGGTCTGTGTGAAGTCCGCACAGACTCCGCACCAAAGTGTTTGGGTGCAGTGTGGGGGACAGGTAGTGATGTGCACGGCCTGGCCTCAGGCCGTGGGCCAGCCGAAGCCAGGCCGTGGGCCAGCCGAAGCCAGGCCTATATAGGCCAGGCCCAGCCAGGCCAAAGCTTTGGTCAGGCCACAACTTTGGCCTGGCCTATGGTTCTGAAAAGCCAGGGGCCACCGGCTTGGGCCACGGCTTTGCACACTTTTTGGTAAGATGTTTACCAAAAAAATAGAATGCGTATTCAAGCCAAAATTGGTTCCAGCATCCGGCACAATGTTCTCCCGGCTTCGATCTTGCTCCCAACATGTGCGCTTAGGTGTCTCAAACTCATCAATGTTTTGAATATACTTCCAGGAACATGGTATGTCTCTGTGCTCTCTGCAATATCAGGCATCTGATCATCCAAAATGACTGAACTAGCCACAAAAAGACCAGCAATATAATATGAGGTGAGATACTCCGAGTCGTCTTCCCCTTGTTGAACTGACCCTATGCCACCCACTATTATCTCAGATGACGAGGGCGAAACTCGTGTTGCTGTACGTCCAGTCCGCAAAACCAAACCTACTGCAGCACTCCTTCATTCAGCGGAACTGGCAACTCTTTCCTTCCAGAAAAAGGCTGTCAACGACTTTCGTATTGCTGAAGCTGCGCGATGCACCAAACAAGCAGAAGGTACCGAACTGTCATCTGTGGCAGGCCCTTCACAGCAACCAACTTCCACCACATCTAATACTGCCGCTACACCACCAACTTCGCATGTCCCCAACCAGACGAAAAGAGTTCGTGTTGACTTAGAGGAGATTTTTGAGGACAATGAGGATGACGATGACGTGGAGATGCGGGAAAGTGCATATATTAATCCGAAGTGTGAGTGCTACAACCTACTTCTAACTGAACATTCTTATTAATTTAAAGCATCAGCAAAAAAGAAACGCATCGAGGAAGCGGACATTGACAAAGATGTTGACAAAGATGGTATCCCCATCGATGTTGATGTCCAATCAATTGTTGATGCATCATCGACATGTGAAGGTAGAACGGCTGATATTGAACAGTTTTTCGGACCAGCATTCGAGCAGACAGGAGCAAATGGGAAGGTCAAGAAGCATCGGAAATGCAAGAGCTGCGCGTAAGATTTTGGCCATCAATGTTGCTCACATACTCACCCATATTTCATAGGAAAGGCTGTGTTCTTGTAAACGAACCTACAACTCTTCGTCGGCATGCAGAAGCAAACTTTGCGGTACGTGCTCATTGATCACACTGAATATAAACTAACAAATACTCTTACAATAGGGAAAATATCGAACCTGGGCCAAAACCAGCAAATTCGATTCGATGTTGCCCGGTGATGTCAAGGATCGCAAGGCCAAAGCCATGCGCACTCAACAGGTCATCAATTCACATCTTACTGAACGTAAGCTTGCAGAGCGTGTGGTTCCATACTCCGACAAGCTGTTCAAGACTGCAGCTGTTGAATGGCTCATAGCGACGGACCAGGTGTGTCTGTATTGCTCGATCAGAGTCTATCACTAATATTTGCTGTGTTGAGCCCATCCAAGCCCTCGAACATCCAAAATTTAAAGAGATGATTGATGTGGCTGCTCGTGCTACCAATGGCATGACAATTCCTGGAAGGAAGGCAACGCGGGCGCAGATTATGCGCATGTTCAAAAATCACTTAACGAAGCTCAAGGCAACTTTGAATGTGTGTCTACATGTTCTTTTGCTTTCTGTCTTCGTCTGATATATATTTGAATGGGACTTAGAGTGATGCTGTTCGCGGGGCCGTCAACATTACCTGTGATGCATGGCAAGCTGGTAATACTGATGGTTATTTTGCTGTGACGGGTCATTGGATCCAGGAAGACAATCCCTCGACATGGAAATGTGAGAGTGCGCTCCTCAGATTCACCAAACTGAATAATGCGCACAATGGAAAATGTCTTGGTGGTGCACTGTTTAAGGTGTTGGACCGTGTCGGCATCACGCACAAGGTATCTTGATTTGTATTTCAATCGCTTCACTTCATACTCATACATTCCATAGCTTGGCCATGTCACATGTGATAATGCTGCCAACAATGGCACAATGCTTGATGAGTTTGCACGGCTTTATCATCAGCACCAAAAGAAGTTCCCGTGGCGTGAAAGAAGGATAAAGTAAGTTCATTTACAACATATACTTTGTATATAACAGTATCACGGTAGTTGTCTGGCACATGTCGTCAATCTGGGAACACAGACTTTAATTGCTACATACAGTAAATCTCCACACTACTCGCCACATGATCCCAAGGCACATGAACTGGACACTTCGAATAAAGGCAAGCGTGATGAGATAGGACTCGTCCGTACCATTTGTGTCAAGGTAAGTCTATCTGATGTCTTCAATGCACTGAATTAACTCACACTGGCAATTTTTAAAGGAACGCTCATCAGCGAAACGGAAGGAGCTATACAAACGTGTTCAAGAAAAGGCCAATGTACCCCCAACCCAGCTTCTACTCGATATGAAGGTTCGTTGGTCGTCAACCTATGTTATGCTCAATCGTGCCGAGAGTAGCAAAGTGCATGTTGATCTTTTCGTATACGAGATGGGGTTACAGGAGCGGGATCTTACGAGGTGTGCTAAGATTGATTATTTAAGACTGACAAGTACAGAGTGGCTTCGTGTCGGCCAATTTGCTGACTTACTTTCAGTGCGTGTATGATTTATTTCGTCCATTTTTGCCTAACATTTTCTTGCAAGTATGTGGACATTGCCCAGAAGGCATTCTCATCGGATGCAGGAACTACACTACACCTAGTGGTTCCTGCGCTCGAGACACTCTACAAAGCATGGTCCTCTCGTGTGAGACGGCTTAAGTATGCTCAATTTGAACTTGCACTGGATGCTGCTGCCAACAAGATTGACGAGTATTATGAGAAGACAACGAAGACTCCTGCATATATTATGGCTATGAGTTCGTCCATCTATTTATTGCATACACTGTGAATTGTGGTTGCTAACTTTGACCTACAAGTACTCGATCCAACAGGCAAAATGGCTTACTTCAAGAAAAACTGGCCCGAAGATCTTCAGGAAGATGTCCTTGCCTGTGCGGAATGAGTGGTAGGTCAAATGATGCCTCATATATCTTTTCATATCTGACAGATTTAAAAAGTTTGAAGCTCGCTACCTTGAAATGGGTACAACTGCATCAGCGCAAGAATCTCGCGTCAAACAAGGAAAAGGAAGTTGTCTCAAGAAACTCATTCGCGAAACGCAAAGCTCGGACGAAGACGAAGACGTTCCAACAATAGCGCCATCAACTTGGGCTAAACCATGGCAGGCCGATTTCATGAACTATATCGACACATTCGAGGCACCACCTTTGCCTGGCATGAGCACGATCCAATGGTGGGGTGTACGTTCATTTTTTTTACTATTTGTTTCATATTCCTCACCTTCGAACAAGATTAACGGTCAAAGATATGGGCCAGTATGGTCCTCAATTGCGCGTGACTATCTATCTATCATGGCATCATCTGTTTCCAGCAAGCGTGCATTTTCTCAAGGTGGAATAACTATCAGCAAACGACGCAACCGGCTCAAAGGGGATGTCGTCGAGGCCCTTCAGTGTGTCAAATGTGCTATCCGCCATGATCTTCTGTTCCGCGAACCAGGGCCGTCATCTGTTGTGGAGGAGGAACTTCAAGTTGACGAGTTCGAAATTGATGGTGGATTGGGGGAGAAGAGTGAAGACGTGGAGAAGGCTGAAGATGAGGGCTGGGATGGTCTATTGCTTGATGATGATGGTGACTCGGATTTGGAATCCAATAGTACTGACATCGAAACCTAGTACATATGTTTGTAGTATATTTCTTGCACCAATATTTCACATTTCATGTACTCAGGCCATGGCTCGAGCCGAAGCCAGCCGTCAATCATGGCTTTGGCCTGGCCTGAATATTCTACGGGCCAGAGCCTTGCAAGGCCAGGCCAAAGCCACGGCTTTCGAGCCAAGCCGGGCCGGAACAACACTAGGGACAGGTGTGGGGTGTTTGGTCGGCAAGCTCCGCGCTGTCTGTTACCACTGTTGGAATGTAAACTCGTCAATTTCCTTTTTAGTTTTAACATGTGATTCTTTCGGTTTATATTCTCATGTCGTTCGTCTTCTGATACCTCAGTTGTTGATCTCCAACACTGAGGTATGTCTGTCTTCATCTTATCTCGCCGACTTTGTCTTATACTATTTTCTCTCATAGCGTGTTATACTCTTAGGTACTATCAATGTCCAGTTGTTGATCTCCAACACTGAGCGTGTTATACTCTTAGCTTCTAACAGGTTATGAGCCCTGCTTTCAAGCGGAACCACACACGAAGTCACTCAGTCGCAACAACTCATTATACATCCTTCCTGTTTCCGTACTTCCTCTCGTTATGGGAAAACTCAACCATATTCCGGAACTAACAGGTCTGGACAACTATTTCCATTGGAAACGCGAAGTTATCTACGCGCTGGGAGTCGAGGACCTTTAGTGTCATGTCTCGACTTCCACTGACCCTACAGATATACTTGGCATCACATCCAATTTACCTGTTGCAGCAATTCCGGGCACTCCAACTGCTGATGAGACGAAAAATATTCGTGCTTGGCTCGTTGACGACCTAAAGGCCAAAGCAATCATTACTCGGCGTTTATCTACCTCCGTCCAGCAGTTTATTTCAGATGATCATACAGTATCCGCACGTGCAGCGTGGAAGACACTTGCCAATCATTACAGCCGCACAGATGTCGGTTCACAGTACCTCGTACGGAAAGCTCTTGGATCTCTGCAAATGAAGGATACAGCGGATGTTGCCAATTATATTGGGAGTCACACAACCTTGTGTGAATGCCTCCTTAGAATGGGAGGCACGTATTCAGACGATGACGCAATCTTTCAACTTCTTCGTGGTCTTCCGAACACGGCGGCCTGGTCACAATTTGAAGTCCTCTTGGAACAGCGCATCCAGGATGCCAATGCAGCTGCCACTCCACTCACATTTGACAACTGTGTAGCTCGTATTTCTGCTGAGGCATCCCGTCACAGCGCCAAGAAAGGTTTCAGTGGCCCCGGCTCTGAGTACGCCAACGCTGCAATGACTGTGGCAAGTGGCGCACCAGCAGTGTCTACTAATGCAATCATGGGTCTTCGGGAGCTTATCTACTTCAGGCCGTGGCGATTGTCTAGCAGTTTTGACAATCGGAGGAAAGAAGTACTGTATATGCCTGACTAACTGTTTGCACGCACCAGAGGCCATAATCAACTTATTGTCTGTGGGTTACATGGTGGATAGGGGCTGGGGGTGTAACTTCCTTGGAGCACCAGCACGCTGCGACCTATCATACGGAGGAGCACTTCTTGGTTCGGCCCTCCTCACCAACAAACTCTGTTTTGTCGACCTAGAGTTCCTTCTTCCTCCTGGCCCCACGGCGACCATGCTCAAAGCGCCGTCAGTGGACATTAGTGCCTTTGCGCATGTTCCTTTGACGTTGGACTTGTGGCATGCCAGGATGGGCCATCCAGGTGGAAATGCCATTCACCAGCTCCCTCTCTTCACCAAGGGCGCATCTGTCATGTCCGCAGCACTGCTCACCAAATGCAAGTCTTGCATTTTAGGAAAGCATCCTAGGCAGCCTTACCCCCCTTCTGATTTGCCTCCGGCCTCACGCTTCCTGGAGCTCATCCACTCTGATCTCTGCGGACCTATCCCTACAGAGACGCCGCATGGGAAAAAGTATTTTGTTGTTTTCCTTGATGATCACACAAATGTCCTTGATCTACAGCTTCTGGCATCCAAGGATCAGGTGCTTCATGCGTGGGAGCTTGTTCGTGCCCAGTGGGAGAATATGTCTGGTCAGCGTGTCAAGGTCTTTCGTAGTGACAACGGAGGGGAGTTCCTCAATGCAGCTTTCACAAAGTCCTTGGAACTTGCAGGCATTGAGCATCAGTTATTGGCGCCCTACGCACATCAACAGAATGGTAAGGCTGAACGTGTCCTCCGAATGGTTGAGGGTTGCATGTATGCGATGCTTGACCATGCAAAGCTACCCCAATCATTGTGGGGGGAAGCCACCTTATGTGTTGTGTATCTTTTCAACCGGTCTGAATCTCATGCACTCCTGCCCGGCAAGACACCCTACGAAATGCTCCATGGAGCCCAGCCAGATGTCTCTCATTTGTGTGTTTTTGGTTCACGTTGCTTCACTCGCATCCCTCCTGAACTTCAGGAGAAGCTTGGACCACACTCGCGTGAAGCCGTCTTCATGGGGTATCCGCCTGGCATAAAAGCATGGCGCCTTCGCGACAAGGTCACTGGAGCATTCTTCAATTCGTGGGATGTCATCTTCGATGAGTCCTTCTCTGGCTCACCCTTTTCAGATTCGGATGACAAGGATGACAATACACATTCAGCCACGTCTCGCCCGTCACATTCAACCACAACTCCCCCGTCACATTCAGCCACATCTCCCCCGTCACATTCAAGACCATCTGCGCCCGCCAGTGTTCCTCCACCTGCCCAGTACCATCTTCCCCCACCTCAGACCTCTTCTCATGCTCGTGTCGATACCAAGCACGGCCGTGAGTATCAGGAGAAACTGATGGCAGATCGTGCTCATCTGGCATGTCAGCGTGAGCTCTGTTTGGCACGAATCAATGGCGTGCCTCCTCTGGATGCTTCTGAAGGATCTGACGTTCCCCTCATTCCTGTTGTCCCTCACCCGACTGTATTTGGCCCATCTGTCGAGGGTGGCCCAGAGGAAACACCTGCCCTGTCTGCCGCTGAAAGGACGGTAAATGCACTTACCAATCCCTTCACAGCGTCAGCAGTTGAGATCAGCGACGAGGATGAGATAAAGCCTGACACTATGATGGTTGGTTTTCCTATCGCGGTTGTGAATCTGATTGTTGTCGAGCAAGCGTGCATTGCAATTCGCAGCGACACTCGTCGAAACCCGTCGACTCCTGGCTATGATCTCAAGATCCCACCCAACACTTACGATGAGGCACTTCGCCGTCCAGACCATGACAACTGGCTCGCTGCTATGTGCAAGGAGATGAATCTGATGTCGGAAATGAACGTCTATGAACTGGTCACCTTACCTGCGGATCGCAAAGCCATTGGGTGTCGTTGGGTACTGGAATTCAAGGAGGATCTCAAAGGCGGACCTGCATTCAAGGCGCGTCTGGTAGCACAGGGATTTTCACAGATTCCAGGCGTCGATTTCGGCAAGACCTTTGCGCCTGTGGCCAAGCCAGCTTCGATTCATATCATTTCGGCGCTGGCAGCTAAGTTGGACTGGGAACTCGATTGTTTCGATGCGAAACGAGCGTTTCTGTGGGGAAAACTCAAGGAAGACGTCTATATGCGTCAAGCGCCTGGCTTTGAGTGCTTTGACACATCGGGTGGTCGCCTGGTCTGTCATCTATTATCCTCTCTCTACGGCTTGAAGCAAGCTGCTTACAATTGGTATGAGTTGTTGAGGGAAGTGCTGACTCGTCTGGGATTCCTGCGTTGTGAAGCGGATTACGCTGTTTTCGTCTATGATACTGTGGACAGCAATGGGACATGCACAGTCTGTATCATAGCCTGGCATGTGGATGATGGTCTGGCAGCAGCGAATCAATGCGTCTTTCTGGACTGGGTGAAGAAGCAGATAGGTGAACATTTCGGCATCGCGGATTTGGGTGCGGTGACGAAATACCTTGGTATACAATTTGAACGTGACCGCACGTCTTGTGACCTTTGGATGCACCAGACGGAATACATTACCTACCTTCTTGATGAGCATGGTATGCTCGACTGCAACTCCGTTGTTCTACCTATGGACCCGAAGTTTCCATTCGGACAAGATACTGATGTTCACCCTTATGTTGAAGACTTGGCATCAGAGTATCACAAACTAGTGGGCAAATTACTCTATCTTGCCCTCTATACCAGGCCCGACATAGCACTGGCAGTCATGAGCCTTGCGCAGTTCAATGCATCACCCGAGCCTCGTCATTATACAGCGGCAAAACATCTCCTTCGTTATCTTGCCAGTACCCTCAATATGCGTGTTCACTATGGAGGTGTCAATGTAAACACAGACCTTCACAGCTACAGTGACTCAGACTGGGCATCGTGTCCTGAGGACTGTGTTTCGATCAGCGGATATGTCTGGTTTTTCAATGGTGGTCCAATTTCACACTCGTCCAAAAAGCAGCTTACACACACATTATCATCGACCGAGGCCGAATACATGGCACTCACTGTGGCTATCCAGGATGGAATCTGGATTCAATCCTTCTTCGACAGTCTGAAGATCCCTTTTCCTGTACCTATTCATCTCTTCGCAGATAACGCTGGTGCCATTGCCCTTTCAAAAGAAGCCGCTAATCACACGCAAACAAAACATATTGATTTACATTACCACTTCATTCGCGCACATATCGAGGCCGGAACGTTCTTACCTGAATGGCTTTCCACGCATCAAAACACAGCCGACATCTTTACAAAGTGTCTCCCGCATCCATTGTTTGTTCACCACCAAGCCGGTCTATCACTCGTCACTCGTTGAAATTGTCTCATTTATGGGGGTGTGTTGGAATGTAAACTTGTCAATTTCCTTTTTAGTTTTAACATGTGATTCTTTTGGTTTATATTCTCACGTCGTTCGTCTTCTGATACCTCAGTTGTTGATCTCCAACACTGAGGTATGTCTGTCTTCATCTTATCTTGCCGACTTTGTCTTATACTATTTTCCCTCATAGCGTGTTATACTCTTAGGTACTATCAATGTCCAGTTGTTGATCTCCAACACCGAGCATGTTATACTCTTAGCTTCTAACAACCACCGCCCCGCCTGCCTTCTACATCAGCCGCCGTCACACATCCCGCCTTCCACGTCATGCATCCCGCCTTCTACATTACCCACCCTGTTGTCATTGTCAGCGTGCTAGCTGCCATTGGAGGGAGGACGAAAATGTCATCACCAGCCAGTCCCACCTCCATCTCCATCTCCAGCAGTCTCTGCACCACATATATCAGCAGCCTGTTTGCTGCAATACGGCATCACGATGAATTGGCAGATATGTCACTTCTCAACCTCACACATTTTATCCGACGTGCACATCTACTGAAGGACAACATTCTCCAGCCGCAGCCTCACACCGAGCCTGTTACTATTGCTCCTGAAGTTATACCACCCTCAATCACCACATTTCTCTCTCAGTCATTCAACATATCGGTAGACGCGGTAGACCATCTCTGGGAGATCATGAAGGATCTTGTGTGGACCTTGCCGGATGCAGCTGAGGAACAAGCTGATGAGGAGGCTTCTTTCAAGATTCATGGACACCCACTAGGCCTCAGTGAGTCTGAGTCTGTTATCCTTGGACTGTACTAATTTCTGGTATAGCAGTGTGTGTTCTTTATCCTCCAGTCAAGATGTGTATCAATCCCGAGTGCACTGCCTGGCAGCTCGGATCTCTCCTCAAAAAAGAAGAGCAACAATGTGTTGTTGTTTTCACACATGCAAGTGGCGCACACCCTGCATGGTCCATTCACTTGAAATTTCAAGGTACGATGCTCCCACTTGAATCCAAAGCTTCACTGACTCTTGATCAGCATGCAATACCAACTATCATCATAATTATAGTGTCAAGAACAAGACTCGCACATACTATGGTGGAATACCATTGCATATACAGGTCACAGAGCATCAATTTGTCGAGCTTGAGTTGGCGATGCAGTGGATTGATCTTATGCAAATTGCGTAAGTATTCTTTCACTACTTTGTGACCATGTTTAATATCATTCTTTGCAGTGTTTCAGTAACGAACTGCACATGCCTATATGAAATCGCTCAAACCCATAGCAGCACGGAGCGCGACGAATCATGGCAGTTCTTGAGCTCACTGACGACGTGGGAGGTCTGGGATGCATTTGTGATTGTCTCGTTGCTTGATCATCAGCAGACGCGAAGGGGACAGCTTCAAGTCCCCCATGACGGGGACCAAAAGGATTGCTATACAGCTGTGATGCATGCGTGCACCGAATGGATCATGACTCATGGTCAAGAAGAACTCCCCCATGCATGCTATGGGTGCATGCGAGCTTACACCTCACCTGATGGCACGCTGCAGTCCACTGAAGTCATTGTGACTGATGGTGTCACCGTCGGATGGCCCTGTTGTGCTATACCATGGTGCAAAAACCCACTAACGACCAACCACCATAGGTACTGCCTTGAGCACCAAAATCTCAAGAGTGTTTGTGCTGTGGAGGGCTGCGGTCAGGCAGTTACCAGTGATCCCAAGACTGGGAAGCTTCTGAAGGCCTGCAATGACCCTGTTCATGTGAAGATGGAAGCTGTGAATATGGAATCCTCTCGTAGTGGGAAAAGCAGGACTCAGCACAACAAGATCGCGAGGCTTGACAATGCCATGGAATACATGCATGATCTCATCAACAAGGTTGAGTCTATCCCTCTCCAGGACACCGATGAATGGTACGAGCATGAGATTGCTACTGGTGCTGTACGTTTGGTGCAGGCATCTGTGACCACGTCAACAGGAGTTTCTGATCTGGCACCTAATGAGCCCTCCAACCATGACAACGGTGTACCTGCATGCTCTGGCAAAGATGCTCCTGTCAAGCTGAAGGCTGTGTTTCGTCGACAACGCATGAACAATGAGCAGCTCATTGTATGGCCATGTGGCATCATCAGTGGATGAGGGACAATGTACCACCATGAGGCCGTCTCAAATGTACTGGTGCATCAGTGTGTTTGCTTGATCTGACATCAATATGACTCCCACCAGCAGATTTTGGTGGAAAAGATCTTTTCCTTGCCACACGCTCAAAAGCCGCAGCACATGATTTATGACTCAAACTGTAATGTGCTTCGTGAAGTTGAGAGCAGAAACATCGAGTTTTTTCATGGGATGGGCATGTGTGTAGATGCATTTCATCACAGGACGAAACACAAGGCCAGCGACACCTTCTGCCGTGAGCGGTGTGACATGCGAGCCTATCCGGAGTTGCTAGACATCAATGGAAAGTTCTACTTCAACTCGTCTATCACAAAGCAAACAAATGTGTGGTTTGGGAGCTTTCACAACATCTGCCGGGAAATGACACCCGTGAAGTATGACTTTTTTCTCGATGAAGTGATCCTGCATCACAATCATGTTACCATCACTACTTTACATGCTCAGGGAAAGTATCCTCACCACCCTCATACTTCTCATTAGACACTTCTCGCAATGTTGCACATGAGTACAGGCCCCATTAGCTCATGAATTGAAGGTACATATAGGGGGGCACCCGGTTGGGTGGCCATAGATGTCTGGAGGGCCTGTTGGAGCTCTTCAAGCCCATCCCCCTCATTGTCGAGTATGTAGTCCAGTGGGTCAGCCTGTGCAAACTCGAAGTCATAGTCATGGTCCATCCAATCCACGTCCTTGCTACCTTTAGCATGAATCACACATCCACCCTCACCCTCACAGTGCTTTAGGCACATGTGACGTGTACAACGCAGTGCCCGAGGCTTGTGGCAGAAGGGACCCTCACATGGTGAGCCCTTCCTGCGCAACCGCTTCCCATTTGAAGGAGGGACAAAAGACAAGGGTGCCGGCTGCATCCAAGGGGGGAACTGCATTGGCAGGCCAGAAAAGGATGATGGCAGCATATTCGGTGGTGCAATTGGAATTGTCGGCGACTTGCTGGAGGAGGGTATAGTGGCAAGAATATCGGGGTATCGCAGCAGCTCAGGGAAGAACTTAAAGTAATTACACTGTGGGTGCTGGTGGAGGCACATTAATACAGTACTGCAACATAAATTGATGGACACTTACCCTCGCCATTGGTTTCTCAGCATTGCCATTTCTATCACTCTGACATATTGTGAGTGAGACAGTGAGACCACAGTAAGTGCAGTTAACTGTTATGCACTCAAATAGATCTGTTATGCAGAGCCCTAAGAGGGGCGTCGTCCGCTAACGTTCGTGACATAACCGGAAGGGTCCAGTGTAGCGACTGAGACTGGCGACTGACGAGTCGGCAGATATCAGAGACGCGCATGTCACGTGACTTCTAAGACGGATGTCTTCGAGGTCACTGACGTTCTCAAAGTAAGGACAGTCTTGTCCGAACGATGAGTAGTTGATCGAGGTAGACTTAGGCATGATGCGCACCTAAGAAAAGATACTAGAGACTGAAGCTGAGGGGGCTTCAGAGGGAAGTATGTTCAAGGGAAGATTGAGTAGATTCAAGTTAGGGAATCTAGTACAGGGTGACCAACTACTTATACTAAGTGGAAAGGGTTAAGGGCAAGGCTACCGTACTGTAGGTAAGGGCAAAGGGGAAATGGAAAGGGTATAGGTACGCTGGCAGCAGAGCCTGATTAGTGGTGTGAGGTCGAATGCGGAATGAGACCGAGAAACATTGGAACGAGCCAACAGTAAGTGATACAATGCGCAGCACGCATGAGTCAAAGGAAAGATAAGACAAGATAAGGAAAGCCATATTGGTGGCACGAGTCAGAACGAGTCATAGCCCGAGGGCACGTGCGCACGTTGGTGCGATAAGAGGGAGACGAGGGATGGGAACGGTCCCGAGGATCCGGTCGACGGATAGTCGGTAGAGAAGTATGAGCCGGAGGCATACGAGGGCGAGGACGAAGGGGAAAAATGATAGGGGGGCCATGTAGCCGATGTTACTTGTAACATTACCCCCGTTTCAAGGTAGAGTTCCACGAACTCTTAATCATCGTCCAGAGGAACGTAGTTGTCCTGGTTGTTATACCACTCAGGGTCAAAGTCGAGGTCTTTGAGCCAGGAGGCGGCTTCGATTGCATTCTCTTCGCGTTCTTGCTCGAGGCGAGCAGCATCCTGGTCATACGCAGCTTCGAGCTGGCGCATGTTCATGTAGAACCTGTCAGAAGAGGTTCCACGGCGAAGAATCTTTCTGCCATCGAGTCGAGGGCAGAAGGGAGTGAGGTGTTTTGGGGCGAACTGCCCACAAATGCAGCAGAAGTATTGCGCACAGTGTTTCTGTTTGTGTCCAAAGACACAGCACTGGCGGCAAACAACATTGCTGCAGGTAGACCTGGGTGGTCTCGGTGGCATCACGATGTGCGTCGTTGATGGCGTCTTCCTGGGCTTCCTCACGAGGATAGTGCCTAGTGAAATTCTGGGTGTGTGGGCGATGCACGTGGGAGAGGGGTAGTCCTAAGGACAGGATGGATCATGCATGAGCACGGCGATTTCGGCGTTGTGAAGTGGGGAGAGGTTCCAGAGAACCAAGAGAGAGGTGTGGGACCACCTCAGTGGGTGTCCAATCGTCGGGGTTGAGAACAGGTGGATCGGGGGGGCATTCATCTAGTTCAGGGATGGTGAAAGAGATGGTGTCGACATCAAGGGATGGGGAGGGATTACGTGGAGCATAACACTCGCGTTCGTACTCCTCGTAGAGACGGTCGATCTCGGGGTTAGTCATCTGAGTGACATTGGGGATGTGCTCTGGTGACTCGGAGTGGGGTAGTTGGGGAAGGAAGGGGGTCGGAGCTCTGTCATAGACAGCACGCTCGATGACTGCAAGCGGGTCAGGAGGGGGATTAAATGCCCGCTCCTCCTCGACAGCCATGACAGCGGCATGGAAGTTCCTGAGCTCAAACAGATTTAGTAAGGCTTGTTTGATCTTGCCTTGGTTATATCTGGTTGAGACGGTGGATAGGGAGGTGTCCCTAGCCAGGTCAATCCTGGCAATATCACCAGTGAGGGCGTCGGTGGCCCTGAAGGCCTGGACGAGGTTCATGGTTATGTCATCATTGGTGCGGTTGAGATAATTGTCGAGTCGGAGTGCATACTGGGGATCGCAGATGACTGCTTCCCAATAGGCCCGTTGCCTATCTTGGACAACAGAACGAAGGGATGGTCATCGGAAGACGGTATATCCCGGGGGGGAGGGCCTATCATGGCCAGGCGTTGACTGGCTCGTCAGGTTGCAGTCGGAGGCAGACACATGAGAGGTAGCGGATCGGTGCGAGGAAACAGACGATGCTGAAGCCAGCATATCGAAGCGTCTTTCCTTGGGTATTGGCGTAAGTGGGGTATTGGGTAATGGGTCTCTGTTTGTCGATGGGTTTGGGTTTCGTGGGGTGATGGCGATTGTGGGTCTGTTGGCGATGGAAGTCTTCTGTGGTGGTGTGGATGGGTTCGTCGGTGGGGTTCGCCCTGGTGTAGTGAGGGCGATAGGAGAAGTTGCAGTGGTGTTTGTTGATCAACATGAGATGGCGATTGAAGTGATCTTGAGTCGCTTCTTATACGCCTTCAGGAGCTCCGCTGCGGACTTCAATTCTGTTTCGGGGAGCCACATTCGTTCGGAGGCAGGATAGCCAACCCAAGATACGAGGTACTGGCGACACGATCTGGTACCCTTGTGTTGGAGGATAGCTTCCACTTCGTAGTGTTCCTCTCCATTGATAAGATCAGGAGGAGGTTCGGTGAAATTCGGTCCATGCACGTCTGTCTCCTGATAGGAGGAAAGTTCTGAGGCATGGAACGTGGGGTGGATACGCCAGCTGGCAGGCAGCTTTAGCTGGAACGTGATGGGGGAGAGGACCTTCTGGATTGGGAAGGGTCCATATCGTTTCGGGGCGAGTTTCCTAGAAGGGAATCCGGTGATTAGGTTCGTGGCGGATAGCCATACCTTATCACCAACGTTCCATGGCTTGTAACACTGGCCATAGGAACGATCAGCCATGCGTTGCTGCGCGAGGCTGTGGCATGCAAGGGCTTCTTCACGGATCTTGGCAAGTGACTTGACTTGGTCTTCGGCGGTTGGTAGGGTAGAGTCAGGGAAGAGATGGGGGATGCCTCGTGGTTCGTAGCCCATCATGAGGTAGAAGGGGGAGGCATTTCTGGCAGAGTGTCGTCGGGAGTTATGAACGAATTCGGCCATAGGCAAGTGCTTTGCCCATTCAGAGGGAGTCATCCGGCAGTAGATCTGGAGGTAGGTTTCGAGCTCTTGGTTGAGCCGTTCGGTCTGGCCATCTGTCTGAGGGTGGTAGGCAGTGGAAAGTGCGACTTGGTAGTCGAGGAGTCGTCCTAGCTCTTTTGCTAGCTTCGAGGCGAATTGGGGGCTTCAGTCCGAGATGATCTTGTCATAGAGTCCGAAGCGCATGAACACTTTCTTGAAGAAAAGTTCGGCTACTCCTTCCGCTGTGATGGTTTTTCTGCAAGGGCAGAGAATTACCCCCTTCGTAAGCCCATGGTCTACCACGACCATGACAGAGTCGTAGCCGGCACTCTCGGGGAGGTCAGTGATTAAATCAACCGAAACCTGAGCGAAGGGCCGGAGGGACGAGGAGGGTATCGGGGTGAGGGGAGGTGTCGTGGGATGGGTGTTAACCTTTATCTGCTGGCACATGGCGCAGCCATCGACATATTTCCTAATGAAGGAGCCCATTCCGGGCCACCAGTAGGATTTCTTGATGTTCCATTCGGTACCCGAATGCCCGGGGTGCCCGGCGGTCGGGTGATCATGATGCAGAGACAGCACGCGATGCCGGAGGTCGGGGGGGACGTAGGCATGATCTTTATAGAAGAGAACACCATCGGTGAACCTCCAATCGGAAAGTGCAGACTTCATGGGGGGTGCACACACCCCGGAGAGAGCGTCCAAGGCTGTTTTCACAGTCTGGTCGGAGGGGTCGTCAGAGAGTCGTTGGAACTCGTCTGCGAGTTCAGCGTCAATTAGACGGGTGAACAGGGTGTCGGGGAGGAGGATACGATTGTTGTTATCCTGACCAGCTATAGCGTGGTCCGGACGGCGGGATAAGGCATCCGGTGCAGCGAGCTTTGTTCCAGGAACGTGGTGAAGTTCCAGATCAAAGTTGGTGAGCGTGAGGTGCCACCGGGCCTGTCGTTGGGTGAGTCGTTGTGTGGAGCGGAAATAGATCAGGTTCTTGTGATCCGTGAAGACAATGACCGGGTGAGGGTTTCCTTCGAGGAAGTGCCTCCAAGCCTGAAGGGCTCAAATGATGGCAAGGAGTTCCCAGTTGTAGATCTCGTAGTTCTGTTCGGCCGCGTTGAGGGACTGGGAGAGATAGCTGCAGGGGTGGTAATCCCCATTGCTATCTGTCTGGAGCAAGACTGCTCCGGTCATGAAGAGTGAGGCATCAGTTGCAAGTGCAAACTGTCGCGAGGAGTCGGGGTTCCGCAGAACCGGTTCGGTGGTGAAAAGCTTCTTCAGATGCTGGAATGAAGCTTCGGTGGAATCAGGACCAAGAGAAGGGGATCTCCTTCTTGGTTAGGTCTAGGAGAGGGCGTGCGATGTTGGAATAGTGGGGAATGAAATGACGGTAGAAGTTGCAGAATCCAAGGAAGGTGTTAAGGTCGTACTCTCGTAAGATCGGATCCGAAGGACTTCGGCCTCAGCTCGTACGCTGTGCCCCTTTCCCAAGTACTGTCCCTTATTTCAAAGTACTAACGATAACGCGTCCGAAGGTCCGGACGGGTCTCGTAGTATATCCGGAAGTCTTCCGGATATCGGAAACGCGTATAAGGCTAATCCGGACGTATCCGAACTAGAACTAACAGAGTAAAGACTACCCGAAGGTAGAGCCGAGGATATAGACTATCGGAATCTATCCGAAGTCTCGGAGAGTGACAAGAGTAAGGAGAACTCAAGTCCGGAGGACAGAAAGAGGACAAACTAAGATGATATTCGAACTGAGGTACTACAGGACATATACACGAGTTTATATACTATGAGGATACGGAAGTATCAGTAAGCAAGGGTCCGAGGCTATGTACGAAGCATGTGCAAAGGTTATCAAACGCGAGTCGGAAATGAGACATAG